TCAGGGATGTGGGTTGTTCTAGTTTTAGTAAGTATTTGTTGGTCAATTAAGACAAAGAATTTAAACTGTTCATATTAATTTAGTGTATTAGAATCAATTGGTCAAATATAATAGACAGTTATAAACGAAAGTTGGAGTTCTGTTGGCAGAAAATATCACTAGATGGCAATATACTGCCTGTAGTCTGAAATTTATAAGTAACTATGCTTATAGTCTACGCTTAGAAGTGCGTTAAAGCCAGTTTTGTATGCTAATATCCTCGTCCCAAAAATAAGTACCTATTCTGAAATATTTCTTTCTATATTTTTGCGTTTTAATGTAGGTACCTTCCCTTACGTAAAACATTCCGGGGAATTTTTGCGTTGTTATTCGAGATATTTGAAACTGCGAAATTCTTTTTTTTTTGTTTAAAGTCGTATGTAGTGCAATAAACGTGACAAGTCTCAATTTTTTTTATTGTTGGCTTTTCACAGACATGATAGATGATGTACGTAATCCTTGAAGACAACCCGCCTCTTTCGTCCTAGTGTTATGAGAGATATATAAAAGCTATTTACGCGGAAAAGAATGCAATATACTTAACATTTGTCACCTTTACGTACCGAATTTCGTATAAGAATTTGTATTTTCTGTGCTAACTTACTCTGCATAAAGGTAATCAAATAAAAAAAAACCTTATATAAAATGTTACTCAGATTTTTGTTTCCATTATTTCCAATGAATTGCTTAATAAATTAGACATAAACATTCCAAAACAGAAACATTATACTTATCTGTATAGGTAGGTACATCGTCGTTGAACGACATTTTTATTTGTCAAATTGTTACAACAAATAAAACTTTGCCTCTTGAATATATAATCCATCGGGTTGAAAAAGGAATAAATAATATTTCCAACATAATGAAATACAGGTGTATAATGTATGTATATGGGCGCATTGCTGCATATTATGCACACATGTGTATGTCCCAGTAGTTACTGTAATATTGAAGGGATTTAATTTTCATGTCTCTGTCGTTTCGTTTCTGTTCATCGTCGTATTACGCTTTTCGAGATATTGGTTCGAAAAATAGGATAGCAGATTAAGGTCTATCCGAAAAAAAGAAAGCATTGAACCATTCTTTGAGCTTAACAATGGAAGCAGAATATGGAAGGTTTCCTAATAAGCCAACACAATACACCTTATCAGAACTAGATTCGATTTAAAAATGGCCGGATTGGTTTTAGTTCATTTCATTAGAAAGATGGTCTCCGGTTTTTTTTTTTTGCATGTAACGCGACACTTAAAAAATGCACCTAAAAGACGAAAAAAACAAACTAATTTAAGCACGCAGAAAAGAAAAACTTGTATTACAAACTTTTGTTTTTATCGCGTCAACTTGAAAAATTGTCCAGTTTGCAGTTGGTTTAATTTACAGTAGTAAGTAGTCATTTGGCCAAGTCTGATGCATTTATAATTGTATTAGTTACCGGTTATTTATGAAATGAAAAATACTTCGTTTTGACAATCATGTTTCCACTTAATATTTTAAGTGAAAGATCGATTTAATCAAGGTCTATTCTAAATGGGTTAAAATTATTACCATAGAAGATGGTTCGTTAAATGCAAACAGCGATGAAAATTATGGTTTGTATAATGGAATACGAGCACCTTCTTGTGTACTCTGGTTCTCTGCAGTTTGGACGTACCCATCAAAAGGACCGTAAAATTTTTAATGACGTTTAATAACTCGCACTTTACAGGGATAATAAATGTTTTGAAGATATTTAACAATTACTATTTAGTATTATTCTTACTGTTATGTGAGTATGCAGTAAATTCTAACATAGTTAGAAACATTTAATTAGAATATAGAATATCCAGAATTTTGATGTACATATAAGGGATTATATAATGTAGTATTATGGGTACACAAAACCAAGAAGATCGTAACTGATACACTATATCCTCGAATATCCCTCAGAATATCTGTCAGGCAATGTTCCAACCGTAGCGGTAGCATCATTGCATTTTTCATTCAGTTTTCAGAAAAATCTTTTGGAATTAATGATAAAAGGCAGAAGAATCTTCAACAAAATGTAAATATGTATATTGCTTTTATCTTTTCGTTTAATTAATATTTTATTTCAGAACTCTAATGTCAAACTCTATTTATAAAATATTTGTATAAAATTGTAATAATATTAAAGTCATACTGCAAACTGAAAATGAAAAATACAAAAAAGTAAATGAAAAATATAGGATTTCCGCTTCGTTTACATGACTGGTAGGTTGGTTTATTCAAACGATTGTTAAATTACAAGGGTATTAAGAGACAAGGAGAGGGACTTAATTTTTCGATTGTGCCTTCACACTGTCTTCTATATTCATATGGAAAAGAAACAGACTAAGGCTTCCAAACTAAATAAATTATTGAGTATAACAATTCCCGAGAGTTATTTTTAGCCCTTAATTTTTGGCATGTAAGTCGGAACAATAACTAGTTTTTCTGATTTTATTTTTCTAAAACTACCCACATAAATATCAGCGTTGTTTTTTCTTTTTCCAGTGATTTATATTTTATAAATTTTCTGTTTCTGTTTGAATTACTTTACATTTTCAACCTGTATATTTTAGAGACAAAAGAAGAAATATGTACAAAAGTCTAGAAATACACCTAAAACATCGATACGTTTTTCCTTTAGAGATTAGAGGAAAGGAATCCTGATAATTTGGTGTGTGCTATCCTTGTGAATTTTAAATTTTTCGTAATCATTGTAAACGTTAATCGTTAAACATAATCCCTGAAGTTCCCATTGCGATTCTTGCACGTTAAGTGATTTTCCGTGCAGTTGGTTGTGGTTTTCCTTTGGGTCTTCCTGCATCATCGTCGTCCTCTTTCACCATTTCAAAGCCGGGCTCGTGGGTCGACAACGGCTTATGTTATTATACACGAAGGGTCTACGATCCGGCTTCCGTTGTCGCTTTTGTGTTTTACAGCGACAACAACAACACTACGAACAATCTACCGTTTCGAGCTTTCGAGGGCCAAGCGCCCTTTTTGCTGTACTGGCACGCATAAAACAAAATGGAATTTTCCCAGTGGCCTGTTACACGCTCCTGTTGCACTGATGTTGAGTAAATAACCGCGAAACAATCGACCTTTCAGTTAAGACTTCGCCTAAACGGGACGCGTCATAAAAGCGAATCGGTTTTGTGACAACTTGCGAATAAAGGACATACATTTATAAGGACTATTTTTTATTAGTTTTTAAGTATATTCTTTTATGGTGAACTAATAGAGAAGGTCAGGAATGAAAAGGTATTAGAAAGAATAGGAGAACATAACAGAACAGGTCAAACTCTATGGAAGTCAATAAAATAAGCGAGATAGGTTAGTAGGACACCTTCTCAAGCATGAATTTTTAGTCAGAGACATATTAGAGGCAAAAACGGGTGTTAGGAGGGGTAGAGGTAGACCTAGATTAGATTATTGTTCGCAAATAACAAAACTAAATGTCAGGAAAAAGACTTGTAGGTTGGGTATGATTAATCCTTTTATTTGAAACTATTTCGATGTTCTTTACATTTGTAATTTTAGAGTAATTGATGTTAGTAAACGAATACGTTGCACTGTTTGTATTTGACAATAAGAAAAACTATGCTTTATTTTTTAATATTTTTAAATAGTTATACGTATCCATTGGAAGATTGTTGCTTTCCTCAAAAATTATAAATGTTTATTCAGAATTAAGAGATTCACCAAATAGTGGTTTTGTCGGGTACCGGATAACAGGGTACCACTACGGTTATTGGTTCATGTCTACTTTCCGGCTGGCTTTCCATTAAATACTATCCTCACAACATTCGATCCCGTTGAAAAAGTCGTTTAAACATTCAACTAATGAAATTCATGGCGGATTTTTAACGAGAAGGTTGAAACGAGCCTACAGTGTTAATAAACACTAAAAGTCTGCCTAAAAGGTAACGAAATCATATTACAGTAGTGCCGCGATAATTCGAACCCCCGCTTATCCGAACGCCTATATAATCCGAAAGACCTCTCCCTTCTGGTCACGCGGTCTTTTAAGACGGTATCACCTAATGATTAAATAAATTCGCAGTGCTGTCATTCGTTTTAGGTGCTGCACGTCGATTTTTCGTTCGACGCGTGAAAACGAAGAAGTATTGGAAAAATCGAAACCAATAGCAAAGTTCTTCAAACTCGAGTTGTGTCTGCATTAATTGTATGCTTGGAATGGGCGGATGAAGTACCTACCTAGATATTTTAATTCCAAAAAAACTGCTGTTGCGTAAATTGAGGGAAAAGGCGTTTTCTATATCACTTAATACTACTCGCCAAAGTACCATACTATATATTTTTTTAAAGTGTAATATATATGTATGCATCTAAAATACTTAATAATTGAAATTTATTTCCATCTTCAATTACAGAAACCTTTGTTTCATTTCAAAAAATACCTTTCGAAATATCTAGATAGGTACTGTAATCCTAACGCTTCACCGATCCGAACTAAGGATAAATTTTGGGTGTTCGGATTATCCAGGCCCTACTGTAATAAGCTATCGTTAATCAAATCCTGGTATACCAAGAAGCGACAGAAATTTAATAATTTGGTCATACTGATGTATTCTTATTCGCTAGAAAAACTAAACACAACAACTATATCCAAGTAACAGTTAATTTAGCATAGTAGTCAATAAACAATACAAATTAGGACAAAAGATTCCATCCCAATAGAATCGTAATCACCAAATTTTTATTGGGTAGTTTTTTTGTTATACTTATTAAATTATCATGACTAGTGTTAGTTTTTTCTTTTTACTCTGGTAGAATTATCCGGCACTGGGCGCTATTATCTGGTACTCGGCTGGATCCATACCGGATACCCGGCACATCTCTAATTTAGATTGTTTAACAAAAAAGAATCTTGCGTTTGTTGAAATAACAGATCTTGCTTATGTACATTTACTTATACATACTTTCTTTTTTTTCAGGTAAGCATTGATTACAACTTCATCTTGTATCCCTGTATCTAAACTAGTAAGTAAATTTTTGTTTATTTATAAATAAAATACTGCAAGCCACTTTTCGCTACAGTTACGTGCTGGTGTGAACGCATTTTACGACAGTTGTTTTTAACGTCTCCGTCGTCGTCTCTTCCCTTGCCGTCCAATTTTGGAGAGAATGTTTCTCCCTTTATGCTTACCTGCGATTTGATTTTATTTGGTTCCGGTCGTTTCAATTTTACCTCGGTCACGGTTCCTGGTTTCTTTTTCCACGTAGTCGTAATAACAGGTGGGGCGTGCGAAAAAATGCGTAGCCATTACCCTTAATATTTTTTGAGTTACGATTTCAAACGTTTTAGGGATGACGACGTTCGGCAAAGATTGTAACAATGGAGTCGTTCTTTTTCGGTGATCTGTTGTACATAAAAAGACGTTCTACGATGACATTTTATGGTATTTAGCACATGGTTTTGTACATGGAAGTAGCAAAACGGCATTACAACTTTTGGTATTTTACGTACTGACATTTGTCGTTAGCTAGTAGTGCAGAAGTCCATAATATACATTTGAATTGTAAAATATACCCCCATTATTTGGGACCGTTAAAGTATGACATAAGCACCTAGTGAGGATGTCTTTGTTTCGCTTATTTTTGAAAATATAGAGGGCAGAAGGGCTGGATGGCGATTACGTCAGCAATATTTATTTATTTACTCTTACGATTTTTCTACGAAATTTGGTAGATTCTGATTTGCTAGAAAGCTAAAAGTAGGTTCAGGGATTCCCCAAAATAATTAATATTTCTTACTCCTCGCTCTCATGCATTTTTTTTATAATTATGTTAAAAAGATTTTTAAAACATGTATACCAATGTTTACGTAAAAATAAACAGGCGGTAAGAGCTTTGCTAACTTTTGCTGACAAGCTTCACTAAAATTTTGCTTATGCTATACTTGAATGGCACCAATAGAAATTATTATGATTATCGAAGGAATATGTAAGTGGCTCTTAGTTGTGTGTTAAATTCATTTACTGATTTCTGTTTGCAATACCGCGAAAATTATAACCCNAGTGAGATAAGTCAGGATTGAAGAAGCATTGAAGATATAAAACAGGGGATAGCGCAGGGTCGAGTGGCCTTTAACAAAAAGAAGTCACTTCTATACTTGCGGACGGCCAATTTACAAATTCGAATGATTGTTAAAAGTGTATGTCTGGAGCACAGCTCTATACGGGTGCGAAACGTGAACGGTAGGAGTGACGGAAAAGAAAAGGTTGGAAGTTTTCGAAATGTGGTGTTATAGGAAAATGATGAGTATATCGTAGGAATATGGAAGTCAATAAGACAGACTGGTAGGAGGACACCTTCTGAGATATGAAGGGCTAAATTAGAGTCATAAAAGCAAAAATGGGAGCTATAGAAAGGAGAGGTGAACTTAGATTACATTACTGAGCACATATAATTAAGGATGTAGGATGTTCTAGTTTTAAGGAAAAGGGAAGATTGGCTCAGAATTGGAAAGAGTGGAGGTGCGTGTCCAACCAGTCTTAGGACTGACGACCTTATGATATTGATGATAATGATAATGATAATAGTATGCGATATAATTCGCTATAATTTTGAATAAAAAATGTTACTACGACTTTCGTTCTTAGCCAGACCAATCCTATCAAATTGACCATTTAAATGCATATATGTTACATGTGAATGTTCAAATTGACACCATTTCAAGAGTAAAGACCATAATCATTTAAGAAATACTTATACGAAAACGATAACAATTTCCACAAGTTATGTAATAGATGACAAACGTTCTTATTTATTAGTACAAAACCAAAACATACGTTAAAAAATTTTCTCTCCTGCAGATGTCAATTTCACAATAATCTTTTTAATTTATGAGACATTCAATGGTGTGTTCGAACGGGTGCTCGTCTTTAAACTTAAAGCAATATTTTGAAAAGTGAATGAGTACCGAGTATACATATTTAATTTATTTTAATTTATGCATACATTGGGAAACTTATTTTTAGCTTGTGTTTAAACTTGAAGTTTCTCAAGACTTGACGTTAACGCAACCCATGTTCTTAGTACACACTAACATACAGAATTATTTTGGCATAATTTCTGATACTTTTATTTAACAAGGTAATTATAGGACCGGATACAATTAGGGTAATGTAATTGGCCTCTGTAATGCTTTAAATGATGTTGTTAGATAATACTGTTCATAAAGTTCCATATTTTAATAGTAACAACTTGATATTATAGAAATATACATGGTTTAGTAATAAATCATTTTGAGCGGTACTTTTTATCAATAGTTTGTACCTTATGGTGTTTATATGACAATGTAAGGGTATAGATATTCTTAAAGGCCTGATTTAAAAGTTTCCAAGTTTTATGGGGGAATCCCACGACCACTGCGGAAATGTGATCCAAAAATATGTTCTCCCTATATTATATCTGAGACGGTTAAAGCTAAAGGTATGAATCGGAAAACGTTTCTAGAACCTAAATTAGATAGGAACATTACACAGGTAGTCCAGGTTTTATAATTTTTGGTTTTCAATTCAATACCTTAAATAGAAAGAATTGTAACTATCTATTTTTTTTTTCGTCTACCGTTGTTGTTCTTAATTGCTTTTACATGTCGGTAATTGAGTTTCTAACGAAATAGTAATTATATTAACGATAAGTACTTGAGGAACGTAGGCAACTGATACTTATCAGGGAAATGCTTTTTTATATTCTATTTAGATGGCTGATGCATTGAAATGAGTTCTATTTATTAGTGGCAAGGGGATCGAAGGTAATTAAAGTGTGCCTGCCTTCTGTAAATCACTCAGAAAAATCAATTTCTTGGTAAATGCTGTGAGTACTCACAAGCCGTAATCAATTTTATTATAGCGCATTTTGCCAGCGTGGGTTATATATTTTCACACCAAACAGAACCAATAGTTAAACTAGCAAATTAATTATGAAATACAGATTGTCAATACGGTGTCTCGGTATTGTGTAATTCGTGTCGTCAGTTGATCCTAGAAATATTTGTTTATTAATTTTTCAACAAAAAGAAGTCACTTTTATGCTTGCGAAGGGTTAATTTAGAAGTTTGAAAGGGATTGTTAAAGTTATATGTAAGGAGCGCGGTGCTGTACGGGTGCGAAAAATGGACAGTGGTCGCGGCGGAAAAGAAAAGGTTAGAAGCCTTCAAAGTGTGGTGTTACAAGCGAATGATGAGGCAACCGCGGATAGAAAAAATTAAAACAGTTATTAGAAAGAATAGGAGAACAGAGGACTCTATTGAAATCAATAAGAAATAGGCGAAGTAAGTAGGCATGTTGACTTCTTTTTCTCTCAGGCGTGAAGGGCTAGTCAAAGACATGTTTTAGAAGTAGAAACCGGAGTTAAGAGGATTAGAGGTAGACCTCTATTAGATTACTGTTCACAATAGTTCAAGATGTTGGATGTTCCAGTTTTAGGGAAATGCAAAGATTAGCTCAGGATAGGAAATAGTGGAAATGTGTGTCCAACTAGTCATAGAACTGACTACCTTATGATGATGATAATTTTTGGTTAATTTATAAATTTTCTTGTTATAAGTGAATTTACCTGCTAATTCACTGTCAAGCAGCGGATGAAATTTTGATGCGGCAAATAATTTTTTAGGTAGACATTATACCTTTAATGTTGAATATTGAAAATGTTATTTTGTAAAGGGCGCTGAAGTAAACAAGATGGTTGAAACAAAGCTTGCGTTAATAGGACCTACTTAAAGGAAGCATTCTCGGTTCTGTTTTGACTTGTTACGTTAGGTACTTCACATTCCAACTAAACTGGATCGGTATTTTTGGATTGTAATGAGCTATGTAGGTTGATTGATATTTGGACAATACTGTTGACCATATTCAAAAGATGTAATAACAACAATGATAATATTTATGTCTGTCTGGTAACTAATTGATGCAAATAAGTCTCATCACTGGCAGTGATGTCATTAGTATGTGGTCCTTATTTCTTTACATATCGTCATGATAATTACTTTGCAAGGCTTTATTTCCGCAATACCAAATAAATTACAGTTAAATTCAGAATGTGTAACTTTTATAAATTTAAATGCACGTATTTCAGATGTAATGGTCATGGTACATCATGGTATATACTAACCAATTTTATTGACTGTTACTAGATAAACGAGACGACTAGACAGTTCAGGAAGTTCTAATTTTGTCGTCCTTGTCTGTTATTTTACCTATTGATTGATTCCTTTGTTTGGCCGTACTTATCTTTCAATGCTTTTTTTTTGAGTGTTGAAATGCAGGTAACAGCCTCATAGCCGATGTCTAAAAATAGTCTCATTTGAATGTTGTAATTTGTAAACATATTATTATCGAGTGAGGCACCACAAATGCTTTTTACTCTTAAAGACGTCTTATGACCTTTTGAATCTTAATTTGTCAACGTCCTTAGGAGTTTTGTCTTGCGATTAAGCAAAGTCAACCTTGAAAAATTTGCAAATAATTTTACCTTGGTTAAAATTATGTTGTCGCATTAATTTTGTTATTTTTCATGTAAGAAATCCAATTCATTGTAATCATTTCGAAAGTCTTCTTAGCAATCCCTTATTGTATTTGTACGTATGTTCTATTCTTATACTAAATTATCCTCTTAGCCGAAATATGTACTCAATTCTTAATAAAAACAAAGTCAAACGAGTAGTTACCGAAAATATGTTCTGTTTCGAAGTCTGCTTAAGGTGATTTATACATTTCGCCAGTTTAGACTTTAGAGTCGCTCAAATTCCAAACATTAATCTACTTCGGTAGGTGATCATTTTTAGTTTTAATGCATTTCGCCGATTCAGCAGTTTAGAAATGCCCAGTCTTCGAGTGAAATTAGAAAAATGCTGCTGATCAAGGAATGCAATATTCATTTCCCAGAAAGATGAAAATTTTAACATTATCGATTTATTGCAGCAAGACATTTACTGCTACATTCTACATTGCTCGGAACATACTTGTACTTGACAT